GCTGGGGTGGTGAGGCAGGCTTGCACCCGGACACTGCCTGCCAAACTGAGACCAGTTGGGACCAGCTGGGGCCAAACTGGGACCAGCTGGGGCTGAACTATGACAAGCTGGGACTGAACTTGGAGCCAGGGCCAAACAGGGACCAGCTGGGGCTCAACTGGGACCAGCCATGGCCAAACTGGGAGCAGCCAGGGCCAAACCGGGACCAGCTGGGGCTAAAGTGGGAGCAGCCGTGGCCAAACAGGGACCAGCTGGGGCCAAACTGGGTGCAGCAGGGCCGAACTGGGACCAGGTGGTGCCAAACCAGGGCTGAACTGGTACCAGCTGGGCTGAACCAGGACCAGCCGCAGCTAAACTGGGCGCAGCGGGGCCGCACTGGGCACAGCGGAGCCAAACTGGGACCAGGTGGTTCTGAACCAGGGCTGAATTGGGATCAGCCGTGGCTGAACTGGGCACAGCAGAGCCAAACTGGGTACAGCGGGGCCGAACTGGGCGCAGCAGAGTTGAACCGAGACCAGCTGGGACCGAACTGGGACCAGGTTGGCTGAACTGGGTGCAGCGGAGCCGAACTGGGTGCAGTAGAGCCGAACTGGGACCAGGTGGTGCTGAACCAGGGCCAGGTGGTACCGAATCAGGGCTCAACTGGGACCAGCCATGGCCGAACTGGGCGTGGCGGGGCCAAAGGGGGCGCAGTGAAGCCAAGCTGGGACCAGGTGGTGACGCACCAGGGCCAAACCGGTACAAGCTGGGCTGAACTGGGACCAGCCAGCCACACACTGGGCGCAGGGGGGCCAAACTGGGACCAGGTGGTGACGCACCAGGGCTGAACTGGGACCAGCCACGGCCGAACTGGGCACAGTGGAGCCGAACTGGGACCAGGTGGTGCTGAATCAGGGCCAAACCGGTACCAGCTGGGCTGAACTGGAACCAGCCGCAGCCAAACTGGGCACAGTGGTTCTGAACCAGGACCAGCCACGGCCGAACTGGGCACAGTGGAGCCGAACTGGGACCAGGTGGTGCTGAATCAGGGCCAAACCGGTACCAGCTGGGCTGGACTGGAACCAGCTGCAGCCAAACTGGGACCAGGTGGTACTGAACTGGGACCAGGTGGTGCCCAACCAGGGCCAGGTGGTGCAAAACCAGGGCTGAATCGGGACCAGCCGCGGCCGAACTGGGTGCGGCGGGGTCAAACTGGGCCCAGCCAGTGCCAAACTGGATGCGGCAGGGCCGAACTGGGACCAGGTGGTGCTGAACCAGGG